CCCCAATACATGCAGGACCTCATTAGGTTTACTACATTCACAAAATCTGAAATTGTTATTTCTTTGGAAAATCAATTTGAAATCAAGATTTGATATAAGGTACAAATTCTACTTCTGTACATGGAAGATGATGACATTTTGTAGTTGGATGACAGTCTAAAAATTTGTTCAGTTTGGGCAATAGAATGAAACATTACTTTATTTCTTTTGGCATGGTGAGTTATGTAAGAATGCTCTTTATGTAGCACACTGAACTAGCAAAAACTAGACTTTAAGTCACTGTGCTGAATAATATGGTTCAGTGTATCATGCTAATTCAGAAAATTATTAGTAAAGGATAATTAATTAGGTAAAGTGTACCATGTGAACACATCCACACAAGGTGTTCACCTTAAAGCAAGAAGATGACTGCTGAACGAAGACCAATCGGTGGGGTCCTTGATATTCTCTGAGGTTGTTTTCTTGCAGATGTTTCATTACCAAACTAGGTAACAAGGTATCTATTTGGTAATGAAGCACCTCAAGAAAACAATCATGCTCAGAGAGCACCAAGGACCCCACAGTTCAAACCTGAGCTACAAATATTCTCTTCTGTTGAAGGCCAATTTCTTCATTCCTTTGCATGTGTAGAAGAGAAAGAACAGAAAGATCATCAGAAGCACAAAGGTACTGGAGGAAAAGCCCATTACCTGCTTAGAGACTGTTACCTGAATAGAAGTTTCCCAGCCCATGAGCAAGAATAGCCATAATCTGGCAACCATCCAAGGCCAGCAACTCCGAAGTTGTTAATCAGGTTGGAATTAAAAATGAGAAACAGTGATATTATTCAATCCATTTATATTAATGTTTTTGTTGGATTAGTTAACAATTTAATTCTACACAAAACAGATGTGTGTGTTTTTTTTAGCAAAGTTCTAAAATCTATTATTTTATTACAATTATTTCTCTCGCTTTTTAAGGTAACCATATTTCAAAGTGACACACAAGTAATAATATCTATAGTAAATACAAATACAACAAATATTATTGAAAAGATGGCTGGTATTGTTTCTTCACTCCACTTTGTTGTTTATGTTTTGTAGTATTTTAACAGGTGTTTTATTAAATTCTTAGAAGCCCTTCAAAATATGTGGCATGTCTCAAAGGATGTATAAACACGTTTTTCCTTATTACTTACAGGATGTTAAAAGCCATGACAGAAATGGAACCGATAAGATAAAGGGGACAGAAAAAATATGTCAGGGTTATTTTATTTCTTTCCGCTGCTATTTTGCTCAGCTGTAGATATTTTTACTTTTATATCTGTTTACAACTGCTTGTTTATTAGTTTTGGTCTACAGATCTATGCCTTACATAGTTTATTTTTTAATAAAATAAAAACATTTCATTTTTGTTATCCCATTGTTACATTTGCTTTAGCAATAATCACACACTCCAAAAATATCTAAGCCAGTTAGTTATGTTTATGTTCATTAGACTGGGGAATCTGCTATTGCACTCCATCCAAATCCTAGATGAGGGCATATTTCATTTCTAAAGAAATACTACCTGCCTAGGTGGAGCTTTATCACTTAGATATTGCTGTACTTAAATGCCCCAGGAATGAAGAATAGAGATTAAGAGGGTGGAGATCCTATGAAAGGATCTTCGATTGCAATAATTCCACCCCACCCTACCCCCCACAAATGCACCTTCTATTATGTACTGCAAGTGTTAGACTGTGTAAGTGACTAATGTATTGATGAAATTGATTTAATTTTTGGAAAAATGATCAGTTATTGATTATATTAGAACACAGGAAACAGTTTGTGGATGAAAAACTTTAAACTGGTGAGTCAAGCTTAGCTAGTGTCTTAATGTGATTGGTTGTTGCCATTTACAACTTAATTAAAAAAAAAAACACCTGAAGAATTCTGTCCTGTATCTGAAAGTTAGTACAGTATGGGAAAGACAGGTTTAACATTATCAAAAAATGCCTGATCACAACTCACTACAAGTACAACCAGCAAAAGCTATGAAAATGGCAACACTGCGATACATCAAAAACATCTCAGAAACAATCAACAGACTACTACAACCATACAGCTTCACCGTAGTACACAAACCAATTAAAGATCTTCAAAACATCTTAACTACCCAAATCACTGCCACCCGCCCCAGGTATGGCGATTCCCGAAGCAGGACTCAACACCAAGACCCAGAAGCCCAGGAGTCATCTACAAAATACTGTGCAGTGTAAGGACCGTAACAGCTGCCCTGTACGACAAATAGACGGAAGACTAGCAAAGCACATCCATGAATACCAACCTGCAGTAAGAAGACACAATGAAATCTTCTCAATCTCATAACATATGGACCCAACCACAATTTCAACGAATAAATTGAAAGCAAGCCAAATTCAAAAATGCTGGAAGATTGTAATTCAGATAAATCAGCCCTTATCAGACACAGAGAAATAAACCACATTTATACACTATTCAAGAGATAATAAAAAGCTACAAAGGAAACAAAGACTAGAAAACCCCCTCCAGCAGCCAAAACTGAGATAGGTGCCACTAAGGAAAAAAACCACAGCATCCTCACCAACACTAGGAGGGTAACATACCATATATGAACAGGGAATAACTCCCACACTCACTAGCACTGATGATGTTGCTTAATTGGGTAATGAAACATCTACAAGCAAGCACAGGAAGCATTAGGGATTTCACATCCTTTTGAACATAACATAATTAGACCCTACCGAAATATATTTGTGACTCTAATAATCCCCTATTTAAACTATTACAAGATGTGCTCTGAATTATCTTCAAAAATAGTTCAGAAGTTGCAGCTTGTTAAAAACAATGCTTGAACATTATAGTAGTATTTCACTAATTTATAGGACTCCAATCTATTTGTAGAGTCAATTTAAAATTTTTCTACTTGTATTTAAAACCTGGGATCAGCTTATCTCACAAGTCGTCTTCTCCCATAGCTACACATTCAAATCTCAAAATTTTGGGTACCCAGTTCATTTGCATGAATATTAACAAGATGGTATTTTCAATAGGGCATCAGCTACAGAATGTCTCCTTTTATAAAGAACTATCTAGACCAGGGGTATCAAACTGGGGGCCCGCGGGCCAGATGCATCACACACATGCCACACCCACCCATTCCGCAAAGGGGAAAAACATGGTGATATGTCATGTGATGGCAATCTGACGCCGCAAGTTTGACACCTGTTATCTAGACCCTTTGTCTAAATTTTCTGATTTTTTTTAAAGAAAAAGTTATACTGCATACTTTCTGTTAATTTATGTTTAGCATTACTTGATACTATAACAAAATATGTATGTGATCTGGGTTTCAGATAAATAACAGAAAAGATTGAGGCATTCTCAATCACTACTTACTGGATAATTCATTGGTGTTAATGGGAACAATCAATAAAAGAACAGCTTATCCAAAGACCGAGAGAGACCCCTAGAAAAGATGTTGTGCATAGGACTGAAGAACCAAAGTATAAGGATTGGATTTTGTTCCTTTTGGATTCATTCCCCACCCCACCCACCCCAAAAAACACCTTAATTATGGAATAAAACCAGTGGTGAAATTCAATTTTTTTTACTACTGGTTCTGTGGGTATGGCTTGGTGGGCATGGCAGGGGAAGGATATTGCAAAATCCCCATTCCTACCCCACTCTGGGATCAGCCAGAGGTGGTATTTGCCGGTTCTCCGAACTACTCAAGATTTCTAAACCTGTCAGAACCTGCTGAATTTCACCTCTGAATGAAACTATTTTTATTAGGGACTCGTAAACATTTAAGGTTCAATTATACAAATTTGTATAAAATATGCTTTTTGAAAATGTCATTGAAACTTTTGAATGCCCTCTTACTCAATGCATATACAACTCTACTTATAACAGCTCATTTAATCATTGTTCAAAGTTACAAAGGCACTGAAAAATGTGACTTATGGCTGTTTTTTACAGTTACGACTTTTGCAGCATTCCCAGTATTGTGTGATCAAAATTCAGATGCTTGGCAACTGGTTTATATTTATGACAATTGCTATGTGCCAAGGTCATGTGATCACTTTTTGCGACCTTCTCACAAGCAAAGTCAGTGAGGAAGCCAGATTCACTTAATAACCAAGTTACTAACTTATCTCAAAATGTAGCAAAACTCACTTAACAAATGTTTCATTTAACGACATAAATTTTGGGCTCAATTGTGAATGTAAGACAAGGATTATCTGTATAAGATAAGTGGAAATAATGTTACTAACATTTCTGCCGTGCAAACATTTTGGTCTGCCCCACAATCTGGATAATCCTATGGATCAGAATAATTAAAACATTTTATATTCACCATTCTGTGAGATGCCACTATACTATTTGCATATTAAGCCAGTTTAAAAATTCCTATAGTCAGGCTATAGATGAAATATATGCATTTGTACAGGTATTTAGAATTTGTGAAAAATATGAACTTCTAATCAATTTAATATCTTTTTGGTAGTATGAACATTACTGTTATAAATCTGGATTTATTTCTGAAATCAGAAAAACACACAATCAGATTCAAGATGAATTGCTCATGGCTTATTGAAATTACCAGGTTTTCTTTGCTTGTTACACAAGCATCTTGTCTTAACTTAGAAACATTACTCGACTTCTCTAATTCCACATAGGAATGATGTAGATAATTTAGCATAGATTTTGCTGCTATAGACCATGAAACATGTTCTAACATACTTACCTTTTGTGAGAAATGGAGAAGAAATGGCTTCTCATTGCTGATCTTTAGAAGTTTTAAATCTTATGATTTGATGACAGCTGCATTTGTTTACTCAAGGGACATTTCTCACCATGTGCTTTTTATGGGGTGCATTAGTCAATTGTATGCACAATTATGGATTATGTGTAAATAATTATTCAGAATATGTAATTGTAAGGAATTGATGCCTACTTTAAAATAATTAAAGTTATGAAACTTCAAGAAGCAACTCAAACAGGAGACCAAAAAGGTTTATTACTTACAATGACTGCATTAAGAAAAAACAAAAATGTTACAACAGAGTTAGCCCATTTGCACTGTGGAAGGTTTACGTTAAGACAGAATAAACTTGGGGATCTTGGCTCTCCTACTAATGTCCATACCTAGAAAAAAAAAGCATTTTCCTTTTAGGACAAAGCAGCAATTATGTCAGAATACAACCATTTTTCTAATCTACAAACAAGTTATTTAGCTTTATAATCTACGATGGGGTAAATTTATTTATTTATGTATAGAACTGCTTATCTAAAAAAAAATCCATTAAAAAAACTATAAAAATAAAATATCCTTCTCTCTGGCACCAGGCCAAACAGCATCCCAACAAAACTCCCATCCTAGCATGAGGGAAAACCTCATGGACTACCAGAAGGTTTAAAAGGTAAGGAGCACTCAGATCTCAGGTAGGAGACTATTCCAAAGGGCTGGGGCAGCCATGAAAGAGACATGCCTCTGAAGTCCCATCAGATGACAACATTTAAGGGAAGAGAACATGGAGTGCACCCACTCTAATAAAATTGGATGAGTAGATATATATTCTCAGGGAGAAATGGTCCTGCAAATAACTTTTGCCTGTGCTACATACATAATCTGGTCAATACATGAATGAGAGACCAATGGGAAAAGCAGGAAGGTTAGCTAAATTGGTTTAAAAAAAAACATACTGGAAGAAAGTGTTAGTAAATCACTTCTGGTTGGTAAGAAAATTAAAAACATTTCAATGAAATCACCAGAAGTTGATCTTAATTTGAAAGAGTCCTGACTTGCAGAAAATCTGATATCTTAACAGAAATTTTGAATGCCAAAATCACAAAAGTTTGTTCTTAGTCATGTTTAAAAGGACAGTTCAGAGGTGGTTGAAAACATCTAGAGCGGCGATGGCGAACCTTTTTTGGCTCACATGCCATAAGTGGGGGGAGCACAGGGGAGGGGGGTTGTGTGTGGGCATGCCGCACCCATAATGCAATGTGTGACCTCCCTGGTGCGCATGCGCGCACTACAGGCACAACCCCCATTTTTTGCGTGCTTTTTTCGCCCTCCCCAGGCTCCAGAGGCTTTATAAGAGCCTGGGGAGGGTGAAAACAGCCTCCCCCGCCCCCCAGAAGCACTCCGGAGGCTTCAGGGACCTTCAGGAGGCTTCCCTGAAGCCTCTGGAGCAGTCAAAATGACCCTCCGAGCAAACCAGAAGTCACATCCGGTTTGCTCAGAGAGTTGTTTTGAGCGCTCCGAAGGCTCCAGGGACATTCAGGTGGTTTTCCTGAAGCCTGCGGAGCAGTCAAAACGACCCTCCGAGCAAACCGGAAGTCCGTTCCTGAACTTCCGGTTTGCCTGTAGGGCCGTTTTTTGCACTCCGGAGGCTTCAGGGAAGCTCATGAAGCCTCCGGATGGCCTCCAGGAGGGCGGGAGGGGGTTCGTCCTCCCCAGGCTCCTATGGGAGGGCGAAAAATGGCTTTAAAAAAGGGTGAACTCAGCTGGCCATCACCCGCATGCGCGCTGGCCAGCTGACAAGGCAGCGCCTCGCATGCCCTGACAAATGGCTCCATGTGCCACCTGTGGCACACGTGCCATAGGTTCACCATCACTGATCTAGAGCAAACTAGGTTGCATTTTCCTGATTTAAGGGATAGCACCTGCAAATTAGGAAATCATACTAAAGAACTCCTATATCAGTGTACTGCTTGTTAACTGCTGGTTTGCACAAGCTGGCAATTCTGCCATTTAAAAAAGAATGAAACATTACATCATTCGTATACCATATTTAACTTGATCTGAAATGTGTTGCATGCTTTACGTTACATGACACAGAATGTTGAAAATCTCTGTGAATCTTAAGCAATATTATTTCTTAGCTCTGAAATCCCATTATTGATGCTTTTGTTTAAGCTGCTGCAATCTTATTGATTCTTATATATTAATTAAGGTCAACCAAAATCTCTCCATGATATATTTTATTGCTTATTACAATAAAAAACTGATACATTGCCCATAAACTGTTATTAATGTAGTTGCAAATCTGCTCCATTCTTCAGTTGCAAATCTGTACCTATCAAACCAAGTTTACAAATATACTTTATACTGTTATTGGTATTTTAACAGACATCAGATTAACTACCTTTATTTCCAAAGACATTTAGTCCCGAATGGATAGTCCCCATTTTAAGGTCTACCCTTCCCAAGATCTACCCTTAAGTCAAACTTGTATGTAAGCAGGAACAATATAATTGTGTAAGTAATATTGAATAATGAACTTGAACCATTATGTATTTAACTTGAATCACTGTATATTTAACTCAAATTCTTAACTGTGGGTTATTTTAAAATCAGGGCATTCTTAATGTGGGGACTTGAACACAATCATTCTACTTATATAATGAAATATATGTGCAATCTTGAATATAAGTCTGCATACTGTATACAAGTATATGCTATACTTTTATCAATAACACTTTTCTCTGCTGCCTAAAGGGATACCGTAATTCATATATGCTCATGTACTTCCCTTTAAGCAGATGTAGTAATGTTGTACTTCATCTACATCCCTTTAAACTTAAAGCATATGGAAGTGCCAATTTCAGCTTGCCAAAACGCTAGCAATGTAAGCTCTACCTATAATCAAAGCACCTGGATGAAATTAGGCATATGCTATGGTTAACTGTATTTCCCTTATTTAGGCAAGTATATGATACTTACTTCTGAAACTCCCATTCTCGATTATCTAATGGGCATACCTGCCGAGTCTTAAGCCAGCGGGAAATGCAATGAAAATGGAAAGCGTGCTAAAAGAAAAGAAGGGAAAGTTATGATAACAGCATGCTGTAAACTGTTTTATTACTATTTTTATTTTGTAGAATTACTTCAGAGGATGATATCAGCAGCATATTCAGGGTAAAATTATCATCAGAAATTGCAAGTATAGAGAAAGTCTCCAGCCTCTATGTTTTTAGCTTTCTATTTAAGCCTTTTAATTTTAATTGCTTTATATTATCTTTTTTACCTTTTTTATTATATTGTAAGTTGCACATAGTCGCTGCATCAATGAGATGGGCAGCATAAAAAATTAATAAATAAATAAAACAGTTTCAACCAAATACAATAGTGTAAACAAATTTCAGTTATGTTAGAAAGGAGAATGCTATTTAGGTTCACTGCATCCCCCCAAATTTGGAGGTTGGTTCTAAATATTTTGCTTCTAGTTTATTTATTACTGGAAATTATTAGTAATTCTTATTGCTACTGCAATAACAAATGTATTTAAATGGCATAAAGGTAGATTCCTTACATTACAAACACCCCATGCAACAGTGCATTCTTCCGAGGTAGCTGATGCTTGGTTAGCTTGGCATTCTATACCTGCAAGAACAAGAACAACATTAACGTTATGATTCATAACTACTTATTTGAGTAGATGAAACAACAACCTGTGATGACAAGTATATTATCTGCTAAAAGTCGACTGGAGAAACGAGACAGCTATACTGTATGAGTAACAAAGAAGGCTCAATATGATGTAATAAACAATTTCTCCATTTTTTATTTTCATTACATCATAAGAAGCTATAGAAGCCAATAGACTGATCATAGCAACAACACCGGTTCTCATAATCATACTGACATGGACAAATTTGTCCATCAATGACTGGAATAAGTCTTAAAGCCAAATACAAAAAGAAAAAAAGAGGGGTTGGGCATAAAAATATGCCTTCTACTAAAATATACTTTATCAATGTATAACTGATAGCTCTCCAAAGCCTGAGTGCTGTCCTAAAGACCTTCCAATACTGCATTTAAATAATAATTTGCAAGGTAACCGAAAAGGAAAATTCGGAAAAACACTGGCATAATTTTTTTAATTTAATGTGGTATACTTGCTACTGAAATCTCTTAACAGTTTACAATAAATTTAATATCAAGACATTAAAAACAGCTAAAATAGCACATAAAAAGAAAACAAATCAAGAGGAATAACAATAATGGTTCAGAATCCATATTTTTTCTTTGCAAATGGCAAAGGAAATGTACTATTAATTTGAATTTTGAATGGCTATTTACTCCAAATTTCAAAATTAAGAAAGGGTACTCAAGGCAAATTGGGATTATCAGTTTATTTTTGACAAATTCTGTTCACCAAAATAGTCAATAGGAAGTATTTGAACTGCTCAAGGCAGAAAACTAAGGATTGCATATGGGTTTTCAGAAGCAGAGTTCAATTTAACTACATTCTGAATCCATGATTCTGATGGACAATAAATGTGATTAAAAACAGACTACAACATTTATAATACAATAAATATGTTATAAACCACTGTGAATTTCATTTTACACACATAGCTTCAATTTCGTAGCCTTTATCAAACAACCATCAATTAGGGAACTAGTTAAGGTGAAAAAGAGAAAAAGACCTAGATTTCATTAGAAGCAACTTAATTCCAAATTAGTATATGATTTTTCTCAGCAATTATCGTAACTTTTAAAGCAATACAAACTTGCAGCATCTTGTAGCAATATTTTAGGGAGTTGAACATTTTGCAATCAAATTCTGGAGTCCAGTTATATAATAAACCATGTTATTCATACCATTTTCACTATCCAGTTGTATGTAGGTGTTTCAAAACAATGACATGGTAGATTATATCAAAAAGTTAAGATGGCTGCAATGTCCATACCCGGGGCTTCATGTATGCATGGGTATGTGTATAACCTTCAACTAACTATTTCCTAAAAACCATAAAATCAGATTTTAGATACGTAACTATAATGCACCAGGATTTTTCTAACCTAAAAATGAAGAACCTTTTAATCTTTCCTTTCTTAAAATAAGTGGTCAGGGACCAGCAAAGATAGGATTTATCAGGTTTCCCTCTTTCTTTCTACAATGAACATATCCAAATGTACATTTGGAAAATGGTTGCAGAATGGTTTAATTTCATTTGTTATTTGGTTGAATATACTTAATATATAGATGATGGCCATTTTAACACCAAAGGATAGATTTCAAACAAACATACACAGATATAGTTTTCACTGTGTATCTATATGAATACAGTTAGAAGCACAAAAATATCCTCACAATACTTCTTCATATGAATATAGTCAAAAGTGAAAATGAAGAGATGCTACATTTGTTAGATTTTAGAAGCTTATATTTTGGTTTGACAGAAATTAAACATTTTAAGAAAACATCAATGTATTTATAATTACTGATTGAATAAACCTTTTTATTTTTCTGTTCATAAGCAAACCAAATTGATACAATCTGTCAAACCCTTAAAATTATCTATCCTTCCATTTCCTCCCAAATTTCTGTCTTTCACCTAGAAAAACAGCTTGTTTTCTATTCTTATTTGAAAGTTCTCTTCCTAAATGTAAAAAGGATGGCTATATGGATATAGACAGTTTTGCATTAACATTTAACACCACTACTTTAAAAATGATGCAGCAGCCTACTGGCAGAGAGTATGATGCATTTATGGTAGCTTAGTTGTAATATATTTGTGGTATCTTGCACTAATTCTAGTCTCTGAATTACTCTTTAAGGAAGATGTACAGAATATATAACAGTATTACAAATCTGAAATTAGCACAAATGTAACAGGTCTGTCCCTAAGGAAAACCTAGATAATATATCAGCCCAAAGAATGGTGTTGGACACCAAGATATGCTCCTTCAGTAAATCTACAAGCACTGTCAGATAAAGTATGTATTCCTGCAGTGAAAATAAAATATATGACCATTTAAAATAGATAAATGTCTGGACTGATGATACAATAACAAATCCTCAATGCAGCCAGCCATTCTTTCAGCTAGCTTTTTCATGTCTTATCTGCAACAATTGAAAACAGGTATTTGGGCATATTTTTTTCAAGAATTTTGTCAATATTCTGAAGCAGGGAAGGAAACATTGATCACAGAGAGATGGAAAACATACAGCAAGACATGCTTGAATAGAATCTGCAGAAAATTGCTATCTTGACAGAATTTAGGAAAATCATTATAGCAGATCTTCAGTATTTTCAGTAAATTAAGAAAAGGCTTTATGCCTCTTCACAAAGCTCTTCTAAACAGTTACGTAGTGCAATAGATTCAATGAAGTGATTTCCCCCGACTGCATACTCTAGCACAGGCATGTCAAATTGGGGGCTCACAGGCTGGATGTGTCACACATAGGCCATGCCCACCCCAGCTTCACGAAGGGAAAAAAACATTACGATGTCATGTGATGCCATGAGTTTGACATCCATGCTCTAACATATGACTAATTATCCTCATAATAAGGCCCACAACAGATACACTCCAGCTGTTGTTCAGCCTTGTTTCACTCCTTGGAGCTAAGCACAAAACTACACAACTATTTTTAGTGTCAGAAAACAGATTCAAAAGCAACTATGGCAATGGTTTAATTTGCCTCACCATTTCATAATGAGAGAAAACTTCAAAGGCATAAATTCTAGCTTGTCTCAAAGGTTTTCTCTTTAAAAGCCAAAAATCAGTTTATAGTCAGGACATTCATAATCTCCAGCCTACAAAGAAACTGCAATCCAGTGAGAGTTTGAAAGTTGGCAATCAAGATCCAGAACTATGAATACAACTCCGAGTGGGAGTGGGATGGGGAATCTAACACAAATGGTGGCAGGCAATTATTGCCCTACTTTCCATTTGAAGTTGTTTTTCATTATGTCACTGGACTTTTCTATTAGTCTTTGCACATCTGTAATTATAGGATTTGCACTACACAAACACGTATATTCTCTTTACCAGTACTCACAGAGATCCATAATATGATTTCTGCATATTGCACAGTTGTCAACAACGATGTCCCAAGCCCAGAGGGCAACTGCATTCCACTACAAAAAGAAGAGACATGTAAGTGCATACAAGTATGTACAAAAGAATCAATTTTGCTCATTTCCTCCTAGTCATCCTTGAGCCAATTCAGCGCTTTTATTGAATATGGTTTACTGAACAGCAATAGAATACACAGACCCAATCATATCTAGTTATAAACACTTTTTATTCAGTCCCAGTGATTTTTCCCAACCACTGTTATTATAGATGTATTCTATTGTTCTAATTAATAAAAATAAATCAAAAGCCTTATTCATTTCATATTAGCCACAGTGGCACAGTGGTTAGAGTGCAGTACTGCAGGCTACTTCTTCTGCCTGCAATTTGGCAGTTCAAATCTCACCAGGCTCAAGGTTGACTTAGCCTTCCATCCTTCTCAATAATCAGTGAATCATTAATGCTAAGCCAGTACCTTTTTCTCAACCTCACTTCATATGCTAACATTACTACAAACAGTAATATTTAATATTTTAATAATTTAATGCAGTTACATCTATTATTTTAATAACAATTAAATTTGACTTTTTTCCTTTGATGAAACGTCCAATTAGAAAATAGATTATTTTGTAATTCAAAAATATGTACCAATTCAGAAAATCTGTTATTTCAAATAAATATAACTAAATGTTGCTGGAGTTGCTTTCAGTCTCTGCTGACAATGATTTATTTTTAAGCATTTCATTTTCCTTTATTATGAAAATTCAGAAAAAATTATTGTTCCATGGAGATGGTCCTACATACACCTTTGTCTTTCTTAGCTCTCACTCTAGTTAGCCAACCACAATGACAGCTACAAGTATCTTTAGAAATCACCAGTACAGTCTCATACACACGTAACACTTTCTTATCTAGTGGACTAAGTTGTGGAACTATATCATAAGGACACATACTGATTGGAAATTAATACAGATAGTCCTCAACTTAAAGCCACAATTGAGCCCAAAATTTACGTTGCTGAGTGAGAAATTTGTTAATCAAGTTTTGTCCCATTTTTCTTGCCAGTTATGTGAATCACTGCAGTTGTTAAATTAGTCACACAGTTGTTAAGTGAATCTGGCTTCCCCATTGACTTTCCTTGTCAGAAGGTCGCAAAAGGGAATCACATGATCCCGGGACATTGCCACTGTCATAAATGTGAGACCGTTGCCAAGTATCCAAATGTAAATCACATGATCCTCGGAATACTACAATGATCATAAGTGTGAAAAATAAGTCACAAGTCTCTTTTCAGTGCTGTTGTAACTTCAAACGGTCATTAAGCGAACTTTTGTAAGTCAAGGACCACCTGTATGTTCATATTTACAAACACTGTCACAGGTAGATTAGGAAGACCAATTGGTATGACGTTAGGAGCCAGAAGAGCCAATTTCCTGATGTATCATTTAGCCAATATTTTCTTGGTCAGAGATCTTAACTGTCCCGTCGCCCCACCTCCCCTCCAAGCATCCCAAATCAAAGAACTACCGAGAGCTGGTAATCGAAATGCCGCCTTTAAAAACCCTAGTGAGTAGATAAGTCTACCGGTAAAGTTCTCCCTCACTTTCCTCTCACCTCTCTCTTTTTCCCATCGCCTTTCGCACGGAGCTGCGCAACACTCAAGTACTTGGCGGCTCACTCACACGCGTGACCGCCCCTTCCCAAACTCGGTCCAGAAGGATGCTGTCTAATCTAAGCACCTGCCCTTTCAAATATAATGAAGCAGAGCCCCCCAAAAAGAATCGACACCCTCTCTAGTCCGTTCGGATTCGTTACCATTACGGCTTCAAACCGTTTTCCCTTTTCTCACCTTCTTTACTTCGAAGCGCTTTTTACCGGCACCGCTGTTGGTCCCACTCGGAGTATCAACATCCATCGCGGCAGCCATTTTGGATGAGGAAATCCCTGCAGCGGTCTACCTTCAACTCGCATGCGCGCGATTTAAACAAAAGCCACGCGATGGTTTCCTTTTGGCTCCCCTCCCTTTCCCCCACTCCCCTTAATATTGTGTTCGGTGGCTGACACCCTCCCCTTCCTACAAGCAGGTGTGAACGAAAAGGGGGAGCCGGGGGGGGGCTGATCACGTGCCCCTTCGCTCTTAAAGGCGCTGGCCAAGGCGGGGCCCGTTACGCGCAGCCCTTGCGTAGTCTTCGTTGCCGCTCCTCGCCAGTTGCCCGACCCTGGCAGGGAGGGTGGAGGAGGGAGAAGAGGGGTAGAGCGTCGTAGACTCTCCTTTAAAGAGATACTCCCGAATTACTCAACGTCAGTTGATCAGCCGCAGAAAAGGCAGGGTTACCAAACCTGGTGGCCCTACCTTTTCTTTATTTCCTTGTTGCCAACTGGTGGTTGTCTGGATTTACGTGGCCCGAAATAAACACAACCCGGGAATAATTAAAGGCGAGGGTGGGTGGGATGGTAAAATAGAAGGTGCAGTAGCCCAAATTTTAAGTCACACCACTCGCAGCTTCAGAAGCAAGTGCTAAGGGTCGGCCCTACAAATTTCGAGCGAGTTGACCAGTTCCAACTGGTCCCTGCAAAATCCCCCCCATGTACTGGGCTAAGACCAGCCTGCGTCGGAAGCCTTTTCTTTAATGCCTTTATCTTCTACGTGCATCCTGGCTGCTCTGGCCCCGATGAGCAACTCTTGATTTAACCAGGGTTTGCAAAATGATTTTTTTTTCGTTTTGAAAACATTGCTCGCGGCACTTCGCCGCCGTCTCCTCGACGCTTTGTTTAGTCCTGCAATAGATTTTTTTTTTTTTTGCACGGATGTCGTGTTGCCAGATCTGGTTACAGTCGATCGCGTGCAAAATGCACTTGCAGCCCCAGCCAGCGAAATTGTGTTGCCTTGCTCGAAAAGCCCCATTAATTTGAACAGTACTTCTAACGGGCGAGATATTAGGACGACAATCAATATGTAGCCGTCCATCTTCTCAGCGTGTTAACTCGCAAATAAGTCTAACTGAACTATGTGCTTGTGCTCTGCGTCATATCGTCCCTGTAGAGATGGCATCTTGGCATATCCATAAAAGCTTGTTCTCTCGGTTTTTGACTTTGATGTGACAGTTTGAGGTTGTGGCGGATTCTGATTTCCAAGCAAACGAAATAAAACAAGGGACCCCCCAAAAGGAGGGGGTTTAAATTCATATCAGTCATTAATAAACCAAATATTAAAATCCTATACTCATAATTAAAATGCCACTTCGAATATTATACTCAGTTGCTTCTCCCTTTTATCAACAGTCTGCATGGCTGACTTCATACCCAAGATAATGCCTCCTAAATTGTTAAGGTGTATAGAGAGGCCTGTTTCAAATGCAAAAAGACTGAACTAGCTTTTACATAATACCAAAAACTTCATCAGCATTTAAAACAAAATCTTGCCTTTTCCTTGACATTTACTTCCTTTTCCTTTAAAAAGCAAGTAAACTGAGGAAACTCAAAATGTTTTTTTGTTTTACCAACTTCCACATACCCTGAATCATTAATACCCACCTAGCACCTACCCTGAACCTATGCAAAAGTATTTTTTGAAAATTAGTTTTTCATATACTCACTCTTTCCTCTTAAGTAGCTGCTTCTTTGGTTTAACATCTACATACTTTAAATATATATTTAATAAATAAAATAGATTTGCATTAAGTAGATAGGCAGCTTTTCCTGTAAAATTAAACTTACTGTAGTGCAATACTCTTGTAGAAACATGAGCTTCTACCAAGAATATATTTCAGCAGCATCCACAACATTTTTCAGTGCCTAAGGTAATTGTCTTGTGAGACCTTAATCTGAAAGATGGACTATAAATTGTAGATTAAATCAAGCAGCTCAAACTCCTATTCCAGATTAGTAAACACACACACAATTTTAGCTTTCTCAACTCAATTAGCTAAAACTTTTGAGGGAGAGTGGAAGCCAGCAAAAAAAAAAAAGTTACCCAAAATTGGCATGCAATCCTTTATATAAGCCTTACTGTGAATAATCACTAAATAGGTGTGTTGAAGTAAACATGCACAGAAATGTTACCTGGCCTGTTGTATACTAACATATCAATTAGTATAGAACAAAAATTAGTAACCTGCAGCTCTAAGGCTTTATATGGCTCATGGCCTAATTCTAATAGTCCTCTATAAGAGGTCAATTTGAATCTAATGATGAAAGTGTTCTTCCTCTAAAGTTTGAAAGTTTGAACAGAGAAAAATATGTCAGATGAGTAAATAGTATCAGAAAGAAATAAAAACTGTCAAAGAGAAGGGGGTTTCTATCCACTTCTGCTGCTGTCTTACTGTGGCCCTATTTTTTTAAAAAAAAGATGCCTATGCCTAATAAAGTGTGAAATGAATTCAAGACAATAACCATGCAGTAATCACTTCAGATTTCAGAAGTGTCATATTATTGTAGAATGTAGTTACTTATCAAGGTTTTTTTTTAGACT